AGCTTCTCCAGCGTCTGCGCCATCAGCACGATGTCATCCGTGGGCTGAAAAATGGGGCAAAAAAGGCAAAAAACGGGAAAAAATCGAAATTGTCAATGGGGAAATATTGGGATAAATTCGGGATTTTTGGGGGAATTTTTTGGATTTTTTTCTTTTTTTTTTTTTTGATGTTTTTGTGGGTTTTTTTGCAATTTTAAAGGGATTTTTTCCCCAATTTTTTGGTGTTTTTTGTTAATATGTTGGGGAATTTTTGGGAAATATTTGGGATTTTTTTGGGATTTTTTTGGGAATTTTTTGGAAATTTTTCTGGATTTTTTTTCTGAAATTTTTGTGTTTTCCTGGCAATTTTCAAGGGATTTTTTTCTCAATTTTTTGGCGTTTTTCTGTTAATAGCTTGAGGAATTTTTGGGAAATATTTGGGATTTTTCTTGGGGAATTTTTTTTTATTTTCGGGGGTTTTTTTTCTGATTTTTTTTTTAATTTTTGCGTGTTTTCTTGCAATTTTGAAGGGATTTTTTTCTCAATTTTTTGTGTTTTTTGTTAATAACTTAAGGAATTTTTGGGAAATATTTGGGATTTTTTTGAGGAATTTTTGGGGCATTTTGGATTTTTTTTTCCTGATTTTTTTGGATTTTTTTTCTGAATTTTTTGGAATTTTTTTCTGATTTTTTTTCTGATTTTTTTGTGCCTTTTTTTAGTTTTAAGGCACTTTCCTCTGGATTTTTTGGTGTTTTTCTTTAAATATTTGGGCAATTTTTGGGAAAATCTTTTGAGATTTTGTTGGGGGAATTTTTCTGGATTTTTGAGGGAATTTTTTTAGATTTTTTAAGATTTTTTTTAAAGGGATTTGTTTTACTCATAAGAGATTTTTTTTCAAATTTTTGGTGTTTTTCTCGTAGTTTTTTGGAATTTTTGGGGAATTTTTTGGGCTTTTTTTTTTCTTTTTTTAAAATTTTTTTGGATTTTTTTTCTGGGTTTTTTTGGCACTTTTTGGGTTACTTTTGGGCATATTTTTGAGTAATTTTGAGGTGATTTTTGGTATATTTTTGCGTAATTTTTGGCCGATTTTGTCTGATTTTTTTGGGTGACTTTTGGATAATTTTTGGGTAGTTTTTGGGTGATTTTTGTATTATTTTTGGGTGTATTTTTGAGCAATTTTGGGTGATTTTTGGATAATTTTTGGGTCGTTTTTGCGTAATTTTTGGCCGATTTTGTCTGATTTTTTGGGTGATTTTTGGATAAATTTTGGGTTATTTTTTGGAGCATTTTTGGATAATTTTCTGTAGTTTTTGGGTGTATTTTTTAATTATTTTTGGGTGTATTTTTTAATGATTTTCGGGCGTATTTTTGGTGCGATTTTTACGTTGTTTTTAGGGTTTTTTTACGTAATTTTTGGCCGTTTTTGGCTATTTCCGCGCCGTTTTCGACGGGATTTTTTTGTGCTTTTTTTGTGCGATTTTTGGGTCGTTTTCCTGCGAT